TTCCAGCCCCAGGACAGGCAGAGACACAGTGCTGCTTCAGTAAAGGGGGAGGCACACCCCCTGTACTCCCAGGGAGGGCGGGAAGCCATTTGGGACAAATAACTAACTGCCTTATACCAATAAAAAGCAGAGGTCTGCTGCCACTGGGGGAGGAGCAGGGGAATCTCACTCAGCACCAAGTATAGAGACAAGGCAGGTTTTGCTGCTGCAGAGAAGAGGGGAAAAATGATGAAAAAAAAAATCCCACCTTTGAGGCCCAGGAGCAAAGCCTGCCTAAGACTGAAGCTGGAGCAGGACAAAAGAGAAGCTCTGCTCCTACCTTGAAACAAGGAAGAGCATAGGACTGCTGGCAGGGGGCAAGAGAGTGGAGAAAGACCCCAACTGAGGCACAGGCAACATAAGGATGGCTGGAAGCTGAGCGGCACTCAGGATCACAGAACAGCCCTCTGGCACCTTAGCTCCTACTCTGAGCTCCGCGTGACAGCAGCCTACCTCTGGAATAATCTGAAGGCCGTGTGCACCCGTGGTAACAACAAAACCCAGACGCAGGTCAACTCCTGACTAGATTGACTCAGCCCCCATCCTCAGCCCTGTGCTAACAGCTTCACAGAAGCAGAGGCATGTCCATTTCCAGGCACAGATTATTTCAGTCTCTACTGCTCTTCTATATATAGTGTCTGGCATTCAATTAAAAATTACAATACACACAGTAAGAAAAAAACAACAACAAAGAATTGTCAATAGACAAAGCAATCAACAGAACCAGATGTAGAGATGACCTGGATTTTGGAACTATCAGATGGACTTTGAAATAACTATGCTTAATATGTTAAAGGATCTAGTAGGAAAAGTGGACACTGTTCATGGACAGATAGGGGATTTCAGCAGAGAGATGGCAACTGTAAGAAAGAGCCCAATGAAATGCTAGAAATTTTTAAAAACTTTCATGGCAATGAGGAATTTCTTCAACAGGCTCCAGAGTAGACTGGACACAGCTGAGGAAAGAATCAAAGAACTTGAAGACGTGTCGGTAGAAATGATCAAAATTGAAACAAAAAATAGAAAAAGAGTGATGAAAGAAAAACAGAAAAGAGCAGTCAAGGGCTGTGGAACAAAATCAGTTAGTCTAACATGCACGTAACTGGAGACGCAGAAGCAGGTGTCTTTGGGAAGAAGAATGTGGCAAGCTGGCATTTTCCTGAGAAAAGCGTGTGGTTAAAAAAAATGCCCACAAGTAGCTACTGCTTTGCTCCCTAGCTTCTAATTTAGCTGAAGAAGTTCCTCTAATATCCCTCCACCTCCTTCTTGCTTATCTTCTACACCCAGTTATTTGGGGGAGGAAATATGTGATTTCTCCCCGTGATCCCCCTCAGTATTCTGTCTGCCATTCAGCGTGGAGTGGAGTGGCTGTCAAGTTAGCGGGACTAGCTGCAAAGGTGCGAGGAAGGTTCAGCGGCCTGCCTTTTACTCTTAGCCAATAACTTAAACTTGATTTGACTCAAACACACCACACGGATCCTGATTTTAAAGAGGTGGTAGATTGCAGTTCGTCTCTGTCCATAGTTTTAGTTAAGAACGAGCAGCTCCCAGAATTTGCACCCCTCCCCACTTCAGATCTGAGCAATAACAAGTCTGCTTAAAGAAAAAGAAAGTATGAAATGTAGTATTTATCCATGAAACGCTCTTTTGAAATACTGGAAGTGGTCTCCTTCCTAGACTAGTTATGCCTCTAATAAGACAGTTGTACAAGCTCCTTTGGGTACATATGCCCTAAACTTGCTTTCAGGCTTTCAGCGACCTCAGCTGCTGGATGTGGCCATCCATCCATCTGCTGAGGCCAGTTGCTGGAGAAAACTTGCTGCAGTGGGTCTGGATGTTTGTACGGTCCTGGAATCCAGATGCTTCATGGAAGAAAGAGGAGGGCCCTTGATGAGAAGGGCCGGGAGCATAGTTTCTAAAACCTGAGCTCATGGGTTTAGAATTTAAACTCAGACATGTTTAAACTCACGTTGCCATTGTTAATGGACTTGCACCCCTGGCTGTGTGCAGACTGCCCCGAAAAGCCCTCTGCGAAGCTTTCCTGACCCCTTAAGTAAGCAGCTCCTTTCTCCTCTGTGCTCCTCTTCTACCTGCATTTTGGGCGTTTTTCACGTGATTTTGCATTTGTTGTTATGCATCTCCTTTCTGTCTTAGACTGAGTTCTTTGAGGGTCAGGGTTTGTGTTTCAGGCATCCCTAGCGTAGGGCCAGGCGCAGAACAGCTTCTCAGTAAACGTTTGCTGAAGCGGATTTAGTGCCTGCTCGGCGTGAGGTAACCGTAGTTGGGACAGGAGTTTATCATAGCCGTGCCCCTGTGTGATTTTGTTCTGCACTAGATTCCTGGGTCTTCTTGCACACCCGTCGTAGCTGTGCCACATGGGCTTCTTCTGTGGCCCTGGTGAGGGAGTTGGATTCAGATCATCACAGTAATGGACTTGGAAGTAACTTAGTGTGACTATGTTGGAAACAAATCAAAGATAAAGTAAGAAAAATAAAGTCATAAAGAAGAAAGAGATCTTTGAACCAGGATCCGAGGTGGAAGCTGAGTAAAACTATTAGAGACACAGATCTATTGATATTTAGACGGTCCCTTGCCTTCTGCCAGAGTTCAGCTTTGGGAGGGGGTATGTGACCAGGGAGGGAAGCAGAGGGGCTTCCTAGGGACCAGGGCAGCGAGTAAAATCCTGGGGACCACCTACAGCGGTCGTGACCAGTCCCACACGGATGGTTATGGTGACTGAGCAGTCCCTCTAAGCTGCCTGGTAATCACAAAGGGAACCTGTCCTTTCATCAGCTGATGAAAAGAAACATACCATTTCCTCGGGTTAAAAAAAAGCCCCAAACTCTTTCTTCCTGGGGCATCCAGGTTGGTTCTATATGTGGCTGTGACCTAGAAAGGCTGTGTGACCTGAACCAATCATTTGACTTCTCTGGGCCTTGGTTTCCTCAGCATTCAGGGATCTCCAATAACCCTTTGGACGCCAGCATCCTCTGGGCAGACTGTGTGTCTAGAATCCCTGTGGATTGAGATCCTGACTCTGGCTCCAAAGAGCAGGGACAGCCACCCCTGGGGTGTTAGCAGCAAACATTAGTGTTTTCCTTGTAGACTGGCCACTTCCCCAGCTTTGAGGCATTCAGGACCAACGACTGCTCCTGGAAAGTGACTGCACCCCCCGGGAGCGCTGAAAGCCCCGCGGTCAGCACACGCACGCTCGAAGCCCCAGCCGAGTCCCCTGCAGTGAGCAGACTGTGACTCCCACAGTGGTATGCCCACCCCGGATTCCCACATGACCACAGGGTGCCTGCGCTCAGCGCCCGGAACCTTCCAGACAAGGCGCTGCCGGGTGTGAAGAGGGGATTGCAGATGGCAGCGCTGGGGAAGGAGGGGCTCCCTCCGGTGCAGACCCTTCCCCGGGGTACAGTCAGGACGCAAAGCTGGAGAGAGTGGCTCCAGGTCCCCCGAGCGGGTCGCCTGACAAAGGCTTTTCTGCAAGTTTGTATTTTGCAGAATGATTTGAGGGGAACTGGCTTCAGCCCCAAGCTCCTCCCCTCCCTCAGATTCCTGCAGTCACAGACCTGCTGTCTTGCCTTCAACCACTTTCTCCCTTTCTGTTATCAAAACGGGCTCTGACCTCGCCTTTATCTGATAAACTCATTCACTCTGGGGTGTGGATTACTCACACCTCTTTGGACCCTACATTTTCACGGTGTCCAAAGTCTGCAAGAGGAAGAAATCTAACGGAGCTTTTCAGGCATTGGCGAGAGGAAATATTGCAGCGGGCTCTCCCATCCCCTCCACATACACCCACCCTGGCAAGGCTGGCTGTGCTGACGGGCGAAGATTTGGCCAGCTGTACTCTGTGGGTTTGGGGCGCAGGGCGGGTCTGATCTAAATAGGAAGTAGGTAAAGTTCCCTTCAAGCCTACTCTGGGCTGTTCTCTGACACCCAAGGCACCAGTTATATTTGCCCCGTCCAAGGCCCCCTTATACATGTTCCATTCTCCCATCATGAGGCACTGCTGTCAGGTTAGCGGGACTAGCTGCAAAGGTTACAGCGTTACAGCAGTAATCACTCAGTACTTTCCAGTGCTGGTTTTAGCAAAGCAATAGGGCTAATCTGTTAATGGGTTAATGCACTAGAACTCCCAGGCAGAATATTTGTGTTTTAATTGGAATCTCCTGAAAATGATGCCCTGATACAAAGGGAGAGTGGGAGTTTCAGGACCCCATGGTGGGGATGCAGAGATATTGGGTGAGCCAGGGACCCCTCCATTCACACCATCAGGAACCAACCCCTCCATCTTGGTGATGAGGGTCTTTCTTATCAGCCAGAGCCCACGGTGGCCCTGGGCTCCCCCCGAAAGGGGACGTGGGAGAACAGAGTTGACCAGCAGAGGAGACAGGAAGGAGGAGATGGGAAGAGGGGAGATTGCTGGTGGAGAGGGAGGGGGGTGGAGATCACTGACTGATGAAAATCATTCTCTGTGCAGAGCCGAGATCTACTTCTCCATTGGAACTGAAAGCTAGTTCCATCGTGTAGTCAGTTATTTGTGTTCTGAGTAGCTCTCTTTGAAGGCGGCTTTTGCCAGAAAGTTTCAAGACATCTAAGTGCAAGGGTCAGAAGGGTCTGAAGCAGGAGGGGACCAGTGAGCTCGCGCTGGCTGCTTTCTTTAGAGCCCGGGCGGCTGGAACTTTAACTACCCAGTGAGAGTTCTGCTTTTGTGGACTTGATGGTTGGCCCTGGAAAATGTTTGCTTGGTTTTTTTCCCCTAAAATTTAACTGTCAGACAAGCTTTGGTCACAGGCTGGCTCTGCCCTGCGCCTATGTCGACACCACTCGGGGTCTCCCCTTCGGGCCCTTTGCACGGCCCCTCGCGGTCAGGGACCTCGGTCCAGCTGCCTGGACCAGCAGGACGCACGGACCCTCTGACCCCGCCGTCCCTGCCTCTCTGCTCTTCACAGAATGGGCTGAACGGCTTGCATCTGGCCTCTAAAGAAGGCCACGTGAAGATGGTGGTCGAACTTCTGCACAAAGAGATCATCCTGGAAACGACAACCAAGGTACGTCTCTTGGTGGCAGGGGGTGGGGGGCGGGGCGGGAGGTTTCCATCAAAATTCACATATCGTACCAAACCCTAAAGACACAGAAACCAGCCCTTCATGACAGAGACCCAAGCCTGATTCTGAACTCCTCTCATCCTTCCAGTCACTTCCTAGCCCTGTGAGCCCCTGAAGTCACCTGAAAAACACAGGACCCCATTTCCACAAGGATTCAGGGGGCCTTTATCCTCATCACTCGACTGTAAATCTAAAAATAAAACCCTTTGCCCAATGGCTTCATGCTTTCCCAAGCTAAGAGGTCCACAGGCAGGTGCCTTGGGTCCAAATCCTCGCTGAGATGTTTCATACTCTGTGACCTGAAGCAAGTCACTCAGCCAGTGAGAAGCCTCAGTTTACTCATCTTTAAAATGGAGATTATAATATGTAGTTGCAGGAATGGTATGAAAATCAAATGTGGTAGTGAATATATAATGCCTATATAGGAAGAAATCAATAAATATTGGTGACTATGTCGTTCATGAGGGCTGTGGAAGAGTCCTTCTCCACATCCTTCTCCAACCCTGAGTCTTCCTTGGTCAGCCCCAAACCCATTTCCTCTCCTTACTGGGTCCCTTGAACAGTGAACAGTGTTCTGTTTACTGCAAGCATTTGTGTGATGTCACACCTCTCACAGCAGGACAGTTCTCCCCAAAGCAGTAGATTATAAACACCAGTGACTTAAGTCCAGAAACTGCAGTCATGAAATTGATGCACCTACATGTTGCAAAATCAGTTTCATTTCTTATGCATCTTATTTGTTTACTAAGCAACAAGCAGCCAGCTTTTAAAAACAAACAAAATGAAACCAAAAGAATCACCTCTGTTTACCGTGTCAAGTACTGTTTCCTCTTCTCCCCCTTCCTTTGTTATATCCCATGGTTTTCTTCCTGGGCTGGTCCCTGCAGCCTCTTACTTTCCGTTTGCTGTTTATTCAGCGTGGTCTCACGCACAGCCCCGATTTCAGTTCCACGCAGTTACCACCTCGTGAGCAGAGAACCAGAAGAACAACAGGTAGAGAACAGATATAATTTATGGTTATGAAGTGAACTTCCAAAATATTATGAAGGTAGACTCATCTCTCGAGGGAAAATTCTGTAATTTTCATGTCATTTCCCAAAGGTGAAAAGATCTCACGGATGAAATAGACTGATTTGCTCTTTCTGAACGTGTACAGAGCATTTTTTTTCTAACCCCGTGACAAATACCAATTGTTTCCACCCGGCTTCTTCTGCGGATGAAAGGGACGTGGTTATTTCTCATCCGATGCTGTCAGCTGCCTGGCCGCAAGCATGGTACCATCTGACGGGCTGTGGTGGCCAGAGTGGCTGTCCTCCCCCTGGCATCCCCACAAGAGCTGCAGAAACACTACGCTTCAGCACGTTTACTCTCTCCGAATTTCCCCCTTGGATCGGTATTCTGCAAGCGAACGCTTGGTGTGTCTCTGTATTTATAGAAATTGTATAAGCCAACGTGGTTTCTGAGGGCCCAACAGAGGGAGGAAAAAAAGGGTGAAGCTGAAACCGTGGGCAAAGCAAGAGCCACAACAGATTGGGGAATTGTAACGGGTCTCGCAGGCAGGAGCGAGATTAAAAAAGACAAGACTAAAAAGCCAAAACCAATATAGGTTCCTAAACTGTGCTTAGAAAATTTAAAAGCGTGAAACAAATGCATTCTTTGCCTCCCCCTGCACCCCCCTCCCCAGCCCGGGCACTCACTCAGCACCCACTGCAGCCACCCTCCCTGCCGTGAGCTCTGGGACTCCCTGGAAATGGAGAAATTGGGTCTTTGTGGATCCAAATATAGCTAAGTACTTTTTCCTGCTTCTTTGAGGGCACGTTCCTTCATGCTGCGGGAGGAGCAGAAAAAAACCATCTCCCTGTGACTCCGGACCTGAGGCTGGGGGGTCTCCTTGAGCCTTGCGGCGCATGCATGTGTGTGTGGAGGGGGGCATACATTCCTCACCAGGGCTGCTCTCAGCCCAGGTTCTGAAGACGTCACGGGCTGAGTCCCACGGCCAGGCCTCCACATCTCTCCCTGGCCAGCTTCCCTCCACGTGGGTTTGTATGGGGCGAGTCCTGTCGTCGTGGGATTTCAGGCAGGAAGGGGCAGACGGAAGGAAATGTTTGAAATTCCCTTCTCGAGCTGGCCCAGTGCCTGACACACACATGCTCAGCGTGTGGTGAGTGGATGGATGGACACGGCATGCCTCCTTCTAGGTGGGGAGACGTGGAGGTCTGAGTCCTGATTCCTAGAGAAGGTTCTGGTGCCAGCAGCCCTGCTCCACTTGGTACAGCGAGTGAGTTGGACCCAGGTGCCAAGGTGTCTAAGTGGAGGCTCTTCGGACTTCGAAGGAGAAAAGATTACTTAGCATCTTTATGCTCATTTCTGACACTTATTCTCTGATGGATATTTGAGGGAGAACCCTTCTGCTTATCAAGTGGGACTTAAGGAGAAATCAGAAAGACACATTTGGGAGGTAACGAGAGGACCCTCCTGCTTGAAACAGGCCACGCTTTAGAGACAGAAACATGAGCCCTGGGGCACCGGGTGGCCCTGTGATGCTCAGACCCCCTGGGGGAGGCGCTTGGCTCCCAGTGGCCGGTGGCCCCAGCGCACAGACTAGATTTGAAGTCCCTGTTTGGTGGGTTTCCTGAGTTGGATTGGCAAGTGTTCATGTAGTTTAGTTAAAAACTATATGCCGTCTGAATTAGAAAATGTGAGGTCGTGTGAGATCTGTGCGCCTTAAGTAGCAGAGGGACAGATGGGTCCAGCTGTGGTCCCTGTTTGATGGACGTTGTCAGGTGGGCCTGCCCCGCCTGCCCCTCCCGGAGCAGGGATGCCCGTGGGATCACGTCGGGGAGAGGGACTTGGGAGGGAGGCAGGAAGGAGCCTGGCAGGGAGGCGCATCCTGGAAACGGAAGCCACCTGCCGGACCTGAGCCCGCCCATCCAGGAAGTGCTGTTAAATGCCCAGGATGGATCCAAACAAGAAACCTCACACGTCCCCCCACTACCACCACCTTCAGAGCCTGCCTGGTGTCTTAGTCTCTGTTACCAGTTCTCAGCTTCTGAAAAGTTTACCTTAAAACAGCTGTGAATTTCATTTGCTTCTAATGTTTCTTCTCTCCGGCCTTCCTCTCCTCTCCGACTTGGTGAACTCTGACTCACTGTATTTTACTTATTCATATTCTTCCTTGTGTTTTCCTCTGCCAGGTTCTATTCTGTTTATTTTTCCGCACTTGGTTTTATATTTTTCTTTTCTTCTACGTACATTATATAGTTCCTTTTACTAACCCTCCCCCCAACTCCTTTACCTATTTCTGCCCTTCCCGCTTCTATCTGATGCTTGACTGCCCCTCACCCCGTGCCCCCTTTGGTCCAGCCTTTGGCCGGTGCGTGTTGCTGTAATGGCGCGAGGGAGCTGGGCCCGCGGGATCTGTGGCCTCCTTTTCCCTGGAGCTCGGGGCCTCCGCCCCGTCCTGCAGGGCCACAGCCCGGGAGGAGCCGGACGTCCAGGGAGTCAGCTGGCCTGGCAGCTCTTCCGCAGGTGTCCCGGGGAATCCTGACTGCCCGTCGGCCGGTGTCGGGACGCCGAGCCCAAGAGCAGCAGATCCGTGCTGAGAAGTTGGCGTTCTTGTTCTGGGGCATTCTTTTTTCAGGAGAACGGGAAGAACTTCCCTCCCTGGGTTTCCAGGGCTGTTCATGATGTCTGATGGGTCAGGCACAAAAGTGTGTGTTGTCCACCCCTTGGGGCCATAAAGGAAGCCCACTGCCTCCCCGCAGACGACACCCTTATCCCACACCTGTGACAGCCCTGTACCTGTGATGGGCCCCTGGGAACCTCCTGTCTTCCCTCCCCGTGTTTCAGAAGGGGAACACGGCGCTGCACATCGCCGCCCTGGCGGGTCAGGACCAGGTGGTGCGGGAGCTCGTCAACTATGGCGCCAACGTCAACGCCCAGTCACAGGTGATGCTCAGGGCCCCGGGCGGTGGGGCTGCCCGCCCTTCACCCGGGTGGACACGCTGTGTGGCCGAGTCCGAGTGGATTCAAATGTCCCCAAGCACCTTCTTGCTTTTTCCTGCTTCACGGTGGACGTTCTAAGCACGATGGGGTGGGTCATCGTGGACCCCGTCTCTGTTCCTTTAGCTGAATAATATATTTAGTTGTGGCTCATCTGTGCATGGGGGGACGTGAGGGGGGATGAGGAAAGGAGTGAAATTAGCGGGGGGTGGGTGTGCAGAAGAGGCTGACCATTCTGGGAGGGGCAGGAGCAGACTTCTGGAGAGGATCGCGCCCACCTGGTGGCCTTCTGAAGTAACCCCGCTCCGCCACTGCAGAGTGTCCGTGTGTTTTTATAGCTGGAGACGCAGGTGGGGATGTTGCCACAAGGGCTGGGTGGAAACAGGTTGCAGGGAGAGCTGTCTGCGAGCTTGGAGGATCCTGCATTGGTTTTAGCGTCTGTCACTAACGTGGGTGAATGCCAATGGCTTTTTCTCTTGGCCTACAGAAAGGCTTTACACCCCTGTACATGGCAGCACAGGAGAATCACTTGGAGGTGGTTAAGTTTTTGCTGGAAAACGGAGCTAATCAGAATGTAGCCACAGAAGTAAGTACCTTGGGGACGCGGCCTCACGGCTGAATGTCTCTTGGGGGGAGGACACGGTCCCAGGGGAGTGTGTTCCTGGGACATGGCTTGGGATGCATTCTCTGCCATGATCAATGTCCTGGGTGCTGTTGGACCCTGCAAGGGGGCAAGAGACAAAGTTATGGCCGTTGAGGGATGCCCAGACATGTGCCAGAGAAGTGACAGCAGGGGTGAGCCTGTCATTCCCACTGTGAAAAACACTGGAGGCCGGGCTGGGGTGGGAGGCGTGCACGCACGTGTGTGTGTGTGTGTGTGTGTGTGCACGTGCGCGCGCACGTGTGGGTGACAGGTCTGCCTAGGACCTTAATGAGAAAGGCTCTTGCCGGGAACCCACGTACACTCTTGGACAGGTCACTCGACCCTGAGTTTTGTCACTGGTGAAATGATGAAATCGGACTAGATGGAACCAGAGCTTCTCTTGACTCTTAGCATCAGATGACATCACTTTGCCAGTTCAGGGGGCCCTGTGCCCCTAGCGCACACCGAGGAGATTAATAACAGTAGCTCACAACTGAAACCTCGGTGCCTGGTGTGGTTTCCAGCGTTTGGTAGGCGTTCAATAATACTTGTGAGATGAATGAAGGAATGTTGGTCGGCCATCAGTTCACGGCACTGTCCTGACACCGGGTGATGGGGTGAGAGGGAGGCAAAGAGACAGGGCAGTAAAACTCTCATCAACGCTCCAACTAGGAGCACGTCCTAAAGGAAAAGTTAAATACGCGCCAAAGGGAAATTCCTGGAGGTGCCGTGAGACGGCAAGGCACGAAAGCAGGGCCAGGAGCGGCGTCAGGGAGGAGGCGGCATGGCAGCCGCGCTCGCAGGCTGTGGGGGAGGGAGGTCTCCTCGGGCACAGGGCAAGAGCCCTGAGCTTGAAAGCGCGTGTCCTGCCCTGAGGACCGAGTGGTCAGGACGGTCAGAGCAAACGGTCTCTCCTCTCCCCCTCCCCGGTCAGGACGGCTTCACCCCTCTGGCCGTGGCCCTGCAGCAGGGCCACGAGAACGTGGTGGCGCACCTCATCAACTACGGGACGAAGGGGAAGGTGCGCCTGCCGGCCCTGCACATCGCGGCCCGCAACGATGACACGCGGACGGCCGCGGTGCTGCTGCAGAACGACCCCAACCCCGACGTGCTTTCCAAGGTGAGGCGGCCGGCGGGGCCGGGATCATGCCGGGGCCCGGACCCGGGGCCCTCGGGGTCTCCACCGATTCCGGCAGTTACCTGGAACCAGCCAGACCACAGAAGCTCCAGCGTGCACCCCAAGCACCCGCCCCGCTGCGCCCGCCGTTCCACCAGCCAGCTGAGAGCCACAGGGGACGCCCCCCTTTAAACCCCCGGGCAATGCTGAAGGACATGTGCTCGCTGTGGCTCCAAGTCACCCAGAACAGCGTCCAGGCGGGGCAGGAGGGGCCTCTGGCCAGAGGAGGACTTTGCAGTCCATCCCCCCCACCCAGGTGGTGTTCTAGAAGTTTATTCCAGCTCTTTTCCCAGCTTCCCCCCGGTTGGAGGGAGGGAGGGAAGGGTTCCCACGTGGAGATGGGACCGGAGAGGGGCCTCCCAGGGCCTGGACAGCCCGCCGTCTGCACACGCTGTCTGATGTTTTCACTACCTGTAAGTTTAGACTTAACGTCTAAACTTAATGTCTCCCTCCCGCTGCGAATGCACTTGCACTGAGTCAGTCACACAGGCCCCTGCCCCATGGTCACGGGGTTCCGCCAGGAAAGCTGCTGCCTGGATTGTTAGGCGTGGTCGGGGGTTAGGAACAGAAGGATGACAAGGGACCCACCGAGGGTCAAAGGGCCACCCAGCTGGCCACCCAGGGGCCACTGCACCCCTATGGGGGCTGGAACCGTCCCGAGGATTAAGGTCATGGACCCCATAACACTTCTCACTCATTCATTAAAATCTCTTCAGAAGTAACCGTTCAGAGGAACGGGCCCTGCCTGCAGGGTGGGAGGTGACCCTGGTCCATGGTTTGTCCATGTGAACCACGGAGACCGGGTGTCCCCAGAGGTAGCACCTCACTTTTGGATGTAATTGCCGTGGGACATCTCTTGACCCCTTCCTTCTGAATCTGCCTGCTGTGTGAGGTCCTCTGGTCCTGCTGGCTTTTCAGAATCCCAGGCTGATTCTGAGGTAGAAATGACAGTATGTGGCTTGTGACGCCTTGTCCCCCTCTGTTGTGTGCCAGACGGGATTCACCCCCCTCCACATCGCAGCTCATTACGAGAACCTCAACGTGGCCCAGCTGCTCCTCAACCGGGGAGCCAGTGTCAACTTCACGCCCCAGGTGAGGCCCTTTGGTGAGGCCGCCCATGAATGCGGGGACTGGGCGTCTAGAACCCAGTGCCCGCCTCTTGCGGCACCAAGGACATCCCCGCACTGCAGACGTGCCTGCGGGTGAAGCAGCCCTGGGTGGGTTTCTAAGAAACTGCAGCCTGTGTTTTTGATTCTGGGGGACCTGGGCTCAGCCAGCTTGCTGTGATGAACCAAGAGGCTGGCGTGTCCTTAGAGGCTTTGAAATCTGTCTTAGGCGAGAAGAGTCCTGACAGTGGGCTCCGATGGCCGCTTGCCTTGGGCTGGGGCAGGGCCACAGGGGAGCAGGGCGCAGAGCAGCTGCCTCCCAGACAAGGACACACGCCCTGACCAGTCCCTTCCTCCCTTCCAGAACGGCATCACGCCGCTGCACATTGCTTCCCGCAGGGGGAACGTGATCATGGTGCGGCTTCTGCTGGACCGCGGGGCCCAGATAGAAACAAGGACCAAGGTGGGTGCCAGCCAGCTGCCCGGCAAGGCCAGGGGAGCGAGTGCTGCCTTCCAGGGCTCCACCCAGGTAGTGGGCTCCCCATGACCAGCTAGGGAAGGGCGTCCAGCCTCTAGAACAGCCCACAGGGGCAGCTGGAGACCAGACTGCTCCATCGGGCTGGTCCTTAAGGAAGCCTTCTCGTGCCTCTCCGGCTGGAATGATGCCACAGGTGCCTTCTCTCCAGCGACCTCTGATGGGTGCCTCTGGGGCTTTCTCTTTTTGACTGTCTTTTAAAGGATGAATTGACACCTCTCCACTGTGCAGCTCGGAATGGGCACCTGCGAATCTCAGAGATCCTGCTGGACCACGGGGCGCCCATCCAAGCCAAAACCAAGGTGCGAGCTTCCTTTCTGCAAGGAGCATCTCTTAGGCGGGGCTCCAGCTCAGGCCGACCCGGGTCGAATCCCACTTCTGAGAAACAGAGATGCTAATTCTACTAACTCAGCAGTGTGTGTGACGTTGACCCTGATGTCTGTCACACAGGAGGCACTCGGCTCTAATTATTATCTAGATCAAGGTTGACACCTTTCTCTCTAAAGGGCCAGAGAGTAAATATTTTTAGGCTTTGCAGGCCCTGGTCAATGTCACAACAATTCAAATCTACCACTGTAGTGGGGAAGCAGCCGTGGATAACGTGCAAACTAGCAGCCCTGTTCTAGTAAAACTTTCTTGCCAAGCACAGGCAGCAGGCTGGATTTGTCCCATGGGCTGTCATGTGTCTGTACAGCTCGAGATCAGGCCTCATCTCTTTTACCCTGGCTCCAGAAAAGACAGGAACTAAGCACTCGGGGAGTCTTCAGGGCCTGGGCCGGACTGGATGATGTTGAAAAGAAAACAAAACGGTTCTTCTCGAGGTCCTTTTGGGGCCAGAGCAAAAGCCCAGCCCTCAGTTCTAACATGAGGTCTTGAGTCTTACTGGGGCCGAAGCTGTCAGACTACCTGGTGTTGCCTGCACCGCCTCCAGGCCTACTGCCTCGTTCTTGGGGTGAATTTAGAAGGTGGTCAGAGCAGAGCAAGGCAGAAACCAGACCCACCCATGGCCACTCCCGAGGTTTTCTGTGCGCAGCTCCCTGTCATAAGATTCTACACCATAGGAGCAGTTTATTCCCTGACCGAGGGTTATGTGAGTGTTCAGTGGAGCTCGCTGAAATCTGGGTCATGTTCACGGCCCAGGCTGTCGCGTGTGTGTGTGTGTGTGTGTGTGTGTGTGTGTGTGTGTGTGTACATTTCCCCTTTTTATAAGGACAGCAGTCATATTGGATTAAGGTCTACACCAGTGACCTCATCTTAACTAACTACATCTGCAATGATCCTGTTTCCAAATGAGGCCACATCACGAGGTCCTGGGCTTTAGGACGTCAACATGTGAATTTGAGGGACACAGTTCAATTCAGTCACTAACAATAGCCGTCATGCCGCTTGATTGTGTTCCTCCCTCGCTGAAAATCCTGCTTTCAGTTGTCTCTTGCTAAAACCTAACGTCCCAGTTTCCTCGCTCAGGGGCTTTCATGGTGCAGCTCCTGCCTGCCCCTGGAGTCCAGCTCTATGCCCTTGGCCTCCCGCGTGCTTACCTGCATGGAGCTCCCTGGGTCCCAGGGCGGCTGCCTCTGTGGCACTGCACACGCCATTCCCTTCTCGGGGATGCTCTTCCTGTGTCGTCTTCCTGGCAAGGTCCTAGCTCAGGGATCACCTCCCTGGCAAGCCTTCTCTCCGCATGTCCCCCCGACCCCATCATGACTCCACACTCCCCTGCTCCTCTGTGCTTTATCAGGCCTTCCTGATGTCACCACACGGAGTGGCAACAATGTATCTCTTTTCCCATCTTTAACCTACTAGTCTGCCAGCTTCCTTGGCCTGGAATTCTGTCTGTTCTGTTTCCCCAGAGCTTATCCCATACCTGATGCACTTTAATCACTTAATATTTGCTGAATTTATGTCTGAATGAATGAGTGAGTGAGTCTTCTCTGTCTTTAATTGTTTGAAATAAATTGCTATTTAAGAAACAGTGAGGATCCTTAACAGTTTTTTAAAGTGATGTGCACTTGTCAAGGACAAAGAACGGAGGGTTTTAGATCCAAATTCCATTTTAGCATCATGCATTCATTCAAGACCACACTGATTAAGGACCACTGTGTGTGTTACATGCATGCGTGGGGCGTGTAAGAGATACCAGGCACAGTCACTGATCTTAAGAAGCTTCTAAGGAAGGAGAGAAGATACATACACCTGAAAAGTTAATTATGAAAACAATTCGGCAAGTATATAAGTACGGTCCGAGTGAGGGGTACAGATGAGAAAAGCCCACAGGAATCAAGGGTGGCCAGGGGAGGCCTCGTGGAAGACGTGGGCCTGGCTAGAGCGGGCCTGGAGGATTTGGTGGGGTGAGAAGAAGGAGGTTTGCAATCAGAGACCAGCAGGAACGCGGAGGCCGGAATGAACCAGGCTCACCCGGGAGCCACATGGAAGCCCTGTGTAGGGAGGAGGTGGGAAGTGAGGTTGGAATCATTGCCTGCCTTGAATTTCCATGTTCATTTCCTATGCAACTGGTTGTTTTCCCTCTTCACCAGAATGGCTTGTCCCCAATCCACATGGCGGCTCAGGGAGACCACCTTGACTGTGTCCGACTCCTATTGCAATACAATGCAGAGATAGACGACATCACACTGGACCACCTGACCCCGCTCCACGTGGCTGCCCACTGCGGCCACCACAGGGTGGCCAAGGTCCTGTTGGATAAAGGGGCCAAACCAAACTCCAGAGCCCTGGTGAGTAGGAGGCTATCGGAAAAGGAGCCAGAGGGGCTAGGGCCAGAGCTGCATGGCTGAGCCCCCCAGGGAGGTACCCACTGGTGCCTGGAGCTGCCCTGGAGATTCAGGGCGGGGACAGTGTCGGGGGGCGGGGCACTGAGGCCCACGGGGCGTGGCAGCGCACAGGCGGATGTGACCTTACTCCCTGCCGCATCCCACACATAATGACCGAGCCCCCGTAACAGGCTGAGGTTTGGGTGGGTTTGGGCCCAGGACACCTGACTCACAAGCAGTGTGTGCGGTAGGTATGCGGGATGTCACTCCCGTCCGTGCCCAGAGCTGAGGGTTGGTGATTTCTAGCGACTGCCTGGCTTTTTGACCTGCTTTGGGGGCGAGTGAAATGGGCTCAGCTAAGCATCCTTCCTCTGCAGAGGGGCTCACAGTGGTCATGGTGCTTGAGCAGAGGTGAGTTCAGGCCTAAAGCAAATTCCCTCCTGGGACTGTGGTTCCTTTCGCTCGCCCCAGGCCGGGGGCTCCCGGGGAAGTTGCTGGCGGGGCCGGAGCGCTGCACGGAGCCTGCCCACACCCGCCATCTCCCCTCTGCCCATTCCCAGAGGAGGAGAATTTAGAAGGCCGGACAGCCTCCAGGCCGCCAGGATGGCTCGTTCATTCATTTATTCATTCATTTGTTCAGAAAGCTTTCACCGAGCAGTCCCCACTTGCGGGGCACTGTCTGGGGTAGTCGGGGTTTCTCAACCTCAGCACTACTGACATTTGGGGCCAATGTTCTTTGTTGTGGCGAGACTGACCCGTGAATAGATGTTTAGCAGCATCCCTGGCCTCCGCCCGCTAGGCGCTGATAGCACTCCTCCCCTCCTTGTGACAATCAAAAACGTCTCCAGACATTGCCAAGTGTCCCCGGGGCGGGGGCTGGGTGGTGAGACAAAATCCCCTCCCCTCACATTGAGAACCACTGCCCTAGGGGTTAAAGCACTGAAAAAACAAGCAGACGGGCAAAACCCAGCGAACAAACAGAAATCCCTGCCCTGGTGGAGTTTACATCCTAGCGTATCATGTTCGAGCAGGGCTGAGGTTCAGAAATCCATTTGACTAGAAACGCACGGCGGTTTCAGGGAACGTGCTGGGCTTCACAGCAGTTCTCTTTATTGTAAATTTCCCCTTAAGGAAACTTTAAACGGCAGGCTCTTTCAGTGCGTCCAAAAATGTGACGAAATTTGGAAAAAGGGTTTACAGACAACATACCCAGGACCTCGCCTGGTGCACAGTGAGAGCCACCTGCCCCTTCCGTGATTCACAGTGATTGACGTTTAGGCTGGGCAGGGGCTCCCTTTCCATCAGCAGGGTGGTCTGGGTGTTCCTTGGGCTTGAGTGCGAGCCCCTGCTTGCCTGTCTCCCTTTGTGTGGGGCTGCAGAATGGCTTTACCCCCTTACACATCGCCTGCAAGAAGAACCATATCCGCGTCATGGAGCTGCTGCTGAAGACGGGGGCCTCCATTGATGCTGTCACTGAGGTAGGAGAAACTCCGCAGACGAGTGGACGGTCTCCGCGGGCCTTCTTCCAATAGCCATCTTGAGAGTTGTTCTTTGTGGCTGCGTGTGTGTGTGTGTGTGTGTGTGTGTGTGTGTGTGTGTTGTGTGTGTGTGTATGCTAGTCTAGAACTCTCAGGAATACATCAGGGGTCGCTAAGACCGGGAGCTGGTGTCAGATCTCAGGGAGCTGTCCAAGGTCAGCTGCAAAATGTTTTGAGTTGTACATGTGGGTGGAATCACCCTGCAGTGTTTTTTCTCCCCCTCCGGCCATTTTCCTAGAAGCAGACCCATTTCCTAGAACTCCCTTTCCTTGGAAGACTCTTCTGGAGCCCCTAGAGGCAGGAAAGCTTAAGCTCCATCTGGCTATGTGTCTGGAGGAGTGGGCAAGTCTCCCCCGTCTCACTCCTGTCTGGTCTGTTCCAGTCTGGCCTGACACCTCTCCACGTGGCCTCCTTCATGGGGCACCTGCCCATCGTGAAGAGCCTGCTGCAGCGGGAAGCATCGCCCAACGTCTCCAATGTGGTGAGTCCGTGGGGAGAGCAGGCCCTTCCTGTGGACGGAGGGCTCAGAGGCGAGCGTTTGCCAGCGATCCCAAGCTCTCCTCTCGAGGACAGAGGTAGAATTCTCAGAATAGCAGGCGCTTCGGACTTGGGGAGATGACTGTATGTACTGACGCTTTCTCAGTTAAATGTGTCACCCATGTGTAAGTCTTGGGGGTTTTATTCTGGACGATCATTTGGGAATGTCTGTGAGTGGTATCTGGGAATACATGTATGTTTTTAAACATTCCTTAGCTCTGGGGTTTACCTTTAAGTGTAACACACACACACACACACACACACACACACACACACACACACACACACACACACACACACACACACACACCCAGGCATCAGCAGACTAAAGGCTGAAGTTGCTTTTTGCTGGGGCATCTCCACCTCTTGGAGGAATGTCCGCCGAGCTACTCCAGGCTGGCACTGCGGAGCCCTGTGTGTGCCCTTTTGCAAACCCAGCAGGTGTTAACACTTCCATAATTTTGTTATTTTACAGAAAGTGGAGACCCCGCTACACATGGCAGCCAGAGCAGGACACACGGAAGTGGCCAAATATTTGCTCCAGAACAAAGCCAAAGTCAATGCCAAGGCCAAGGTGGGTTCTGGAGGTGGGAGGGATCCCAGACGGAAGCAATTGAAGCGCGGGAGGAGCCATCCTCCCTGATCGGAGACCAGGCTGCAGGGCTCGTGGCGCCGAGGTTCCTCGTCACACCTGCCGGGTTGCAGCACACGCTCCGGTTCTGCTTTGCAAGGGTTCTGAGAAGCCCAGACGTGTTGGCATCAACAAAAGGCCAAGAAACAGTACTGCGGGGGGCGGGGGGGCGGGGCGGGCTGAAAGGTTGCGTGTGGTTACAGTCACAGTATCAGAAGAGAAGCAACTTTTTGAAGAAAGCGTTGCCGGTGAAAATCAAGATGCCCTCGCGATGTAAAAGGCATCTCTGAGGTACTGAGCGATGCCGAGTTTGCAATCTGGCTTTGGCCAGGATCAGGCTTTCCTACCGCACAGACCACAGAGCCTCTGTTTAGTGTCAGGACTGTGGTTTAGATTTGAGCCACAAACCCAAGGGAGGGAGGCCCCTAGCTGGGCCCAGTAACACAGAGACCCTGCCCACTGACCCCCTCAGCTTCCGGAGGAAACTGGAAGGGGCGGGGGGGGGGCGGGAGCTGGGATGAAAAGTCATCTTTCCCCAGGTCTGGCCCTCCCATTGCCCCTGGTGTAGAGAAAACCAGAGTAGCCTTCAGACAGAAAGACAAGTGGATGCTTAGACGGGACTCGGGAGACAGTACAGTTCACCTTGTTTCATTGCCCTTCACTTTAGTGTGGACAGATAAAGTGTTTTTTGCAATAAAGTGTTTTTTGCAGATAAAGTGTTTTTTACAATTTGAAGTTTTGTGGCAACCCCGTGTTGTCAGGTGGATAGCATTTTTCTAGCAGTAAAGTATTTTTTAATTAAGGTAAGTGTATTTTTTAGACATAATCCTATTGCACACATAATGGAGTGTAATAGTGTGTAAGTAACTTTTATATGCACGGGGAAACCAAAAAAATTCATGTGACTCGCTTTACTCTGTTACCCAATTTATTGCAGTGGTCTGGAACTGAGCCCACAATGTCTCCAAGGTCTGCCCGTAAGAGCAACCACAATGTATAGTGTGTGCCAAACGTGGTGTGAAACATCTTATACACGCTGTCTGCTTGATCCTAACCGTAGCCCTATGAGGTCAATACCATTATTCCCATTTTACAGATGGGAAGGCTGAGCCTTTGGGCAATTAAGTAGGAATAACAACTAACTTGAAAGGTTGTTATAAGGATTAAATAATATAGAACATATTATATAGAACATAACTCAGAGATCTGAACCTCAGCTCTTCCTCTTACTAGCTGTGTAGCCTTGAGAAAGTCACTTAACCTCTCTGGGCCTCACCTGCCTTCTTTATAAAATGAAGAGTTGGGTTAGGTAACCTTATGTTCCCTGTTCTTTGTTTTTGCTTTGGGTTCCAGGATGACCAGACCCCACTTCACTGTGCAGCTCGCATTGGCCACACAAACATGGTGAAGCTCCTGCTAGAAAACGACGCCAACCCCAACCTGGCCACCACTGCCGGGCACACCCCCCTGCACATCGCGGCCCGAGAGGGCCACGTGGAAACGGCCCTGGCCCTTCTGGAAAAGGGGGCGTCCCAGGCGTGCATGACCAAGGTACAGCATTCCTCCTCCCGTTCTCCAGAGCGGCAGGCTGGTCCCAGCTGGTCCTGGGGCAGGGGAGGGCGTTCCCATCTGGTCCTCCGTATTGCCTTGACTGTGCTGAGGGCTGCTGGAAGGAATGGACCCACAGGACTGGCCGCCACCTGTGAGCTGGGTGTGTCCCGTCCTTCCCCAGGAAGGTGAACTGTCGTTTCTCATCCAGCCACCAGCCTTCGTCTGTTTATCATGGAATGGCTCAGGATCTGCTCTGGCCAGACCAGACAGGCTCTGGGATGCGAGAAGGCTGGCGGCCCAGGCCCTGCCCGCAACTAGCTGGCTGTCAAATAACAGCACCAGTGGTTTTGACTCCGTCACGAGAGGGGCAGGTGGCAGCCCCCGGGGCTCTGGGAGTCTCAGCGGGATCACACCTTCTGCGCCCTTTATTCTACTGGTGTCTCCATGCCAGTCGGGGTGGGACACCTCCTTTGCCGCGGGCCCTTTCTCCAGAGAGGATGGCGGGCCTCCCCACGGTTCCGACGGCCTGTGTTTCTCCTCAGAAAGGATTTACCCCTCTCCACGTGGCAGCCAAGTACGGGAAGGTGCGCGTGGCACAGCTGCTACTGGAGCATGACGCGCACCCAGACGCCGCCGGGAAGGTGAGCTTGACCTTCCCTCCTGCCAGGGTGGACCCGGGGCAGAGGGGCAGCTGCACCTGGGTGGTCATCTCTGCCTGAGCCGACTGTGTCCCCCTTGCGCATGGGCAGCCGTCCAGGAAGAATGGCCTCTGGGGAGACAGATCTTTCTGACAGAGGCCTTGCCCTTCTACAAAGACCTGGTGGCCCCTCTGAGCGAGGATGCTGCACTGCCCCATCAGCCCCTAGGACCCCCAGGAATGGAGGTGACCCCCAGGACTGAGGCGGTGACCCCAGGACTGAGGCGGTGACCCCCCAGAATGAGGAGGTGGCCCCAGGACTGAGGAGGTGACCCCAGGACTGAGGCGGTGGCCCCAGGACTGAGGAGGTGACCCCCCAGGACTGAGGCAGTGACCCCAGGAATGAGGCGGTGACCCCAGGACTGAGGCGGTGACCCCAGGAATGAGGCGGTGACCCCAGGACTGAGGAGGTGACCCCCCAGGACTGAGGCAGTGACCCCAGGAATGAGGCGGTGACCCCAGGACTGAGGCGGTGACCCCAGGAATGAGGTGGTGACCCCAGGACTGAGGAGGTGACCCCAGGAATGAGACGGTGACCCCAGGACTGAGGCGGTGACCCCAGGACTGAGGACGTGGCCCCCCAGGACTGAGGAGGTGACCCCCCAGGAATGAGGCAGTGACCCCAGGACTGAGGCGGTGACCCCAGGAATGCGGAGGTGACCCAGGTCCAGCTGGTGTGTTCTTTAGTGACTTCAGCTCCAGACTGGCTCTGAAATGGTGTCAAGCAGATTTCCTGTGTAACAGAAGTGATACGGATCCCCACGTGGTGCTGCCTGGAGCCACAGGCATGGCCAGTGGGATGTCCCCTGAGCGAAGGCTGTCCCCTGTCCATCTCCCCGCAGAATGGCCTGACGCCCCTGCATGTCGCCGTGCACCACAACCACCTGGACATTGTCAAACTGCTGCTTCCCCGGGGCAGCTCCCCACACAGCCTGGCCTGGGTAAGCCTCCTGCCCCACCCCGCCCCCACCCGGGACAGCAGGCGGCCGCCACCCCTCAGGGAGGGCTGTGCAGAAGCAGCCCGATTGCCTGCAGTGCGATGGCTGCTGACTGGGAGCCGGAGCGGGCCGGGAAGTGGGGAGCGCTTCTCAGCCACAGGTCACCTCGCAGATGTGGAGCTCGTTTTACACAACTAATGTGTACCCCAAACTGGTGTCAGAGGTCAGCATGTACAGCGTGCTCGTGGATTCCGGGACCAGAGCCACAGCTGGAGAATATTCAGGGCTGGGGGTGAACTCACCAGAAACTTGGAGCGAGGAACCTGTCTTGAATGCGGAGTCTCCCCCCACATCTGTTTCTCTCTGGAGTTCCGGCTCTGAGATGGTGCCGTTTCTGTACACACGTTACACGTTGAGGTGTGGCCGGCATGCACCCTCACACCAGCCCCTGAGATGCTCAGAGCCATGGGTGGTGCATCGCCCCTGAGGGACCCGGAGTGTAGAGAGTGGATGGGGCTTATGTAAGAGTGGACTGAGAAGGCGCTGTACGAGGTACAGGGATAAAGCTGGGCACGAGGATCATTTTGGGGGGACAGGCTGTCTCCTGTGGGGTGAGAAGGTGTGCAGGGTCTGTGAGGGGAGGGGGGCCGAGGGGGCTGGTGGCCACGCAGATGAGGGGCGAGGAGAGGGGGCAGGGCTCGGGTGCAAAGGACATCGCGGTCCCTGAGCGCGCCACAGTGCTCAGCCCTGTGGCAGGAGGGAGCCATGGGTGGGTCAGTGTGATTCCAGCCGACGCCTGCTGACTTCCACGGGGACGCAGGGCAAGGCAGGGCGGGGCTTCAGTTCCCCTCTCAGGACGGCTGCTCATCTGAATTCTACAGCCTCCTGTTCCTGCAGACACAGCATCTCCCAGACACCCCTTCTCCTTGGGCTCCGGTCCCGCGCTGTTGTAGCAGAGCCCACATCACTGTGTAGACAGCGTGCAGCCCTGCTGGGACATGACTTACTCCTGCTTCTAAAAATAAAACACTGGACTCGCACCGCTCCTTATATAAAAGACATCAGAACCAGGCTCATGGTATTTAAAGGGAGCTTTATCCAAGCACAAACCCTGCACAGATGGGTTTTGTTTCCATGGCAAAAAATAGTTTCCAAAGCAGTCTGGCAATTTTGTAGAATCTCACATGCAAGTCTCTCTGCACCCAAACCAAACCCACCCCTTTCTAATTTTGATGCTAATGTTGTTTTACTGTTTGGGCAGAGCTCTCTCCAGTGTGCGCATTCCTTTGGACGAGCGCATTTCCTTGGGGAAGAGGAGCCTTTTACTGGCTCACACCGTTCCTGAATCTTCCCCCCACCACCACCCCGACGCTCCTGCCTCCCTGCCCCTCGTCCTTGTCACCTACAGAAGGTCATTCATTCCCTGTAGTCCCAGCTTGGAGAAAGCTCACAGGGGTTGGTCCCTGATCTGAGACTGACGGTTGTTCTTGTATCTTGGTTTTAACTGCGGGTCACCTGGCAGCCTGACCTGGACGGGATGCCGTTCTTCCAGTGCGGACATCCTCCATTGCCCAAGTGGCCTGGACTCCTGATAATGCTAACGTGAATAAGTACTCAAGTTCCTGTCCTTTGTTCAGTAAAAGAGGCCCTAATAATCCTTGCTTCCATGCAGGGAATGGAAGGCAGGCTGCAGTCGGCACCCTAGGTGAGCAGCGGCCTCACCCCATTTCATCCTGACTTGGGAGCTTGTTACGAATGCAGAATCTGGGGCCCCCCCGTCAGAATCTGCACTTTACCAAGATCCCAAGTGATTTCACACACATTCAAGTTTGAGAAGCACAGCTCCAGCTAAAAGACCTGGGCTCTGGAGTCGGAAGATTCTCTGACACTCAGAGAGAAGGATCTCCATTTGGGGATGACTCCAAATCCCAGGCCTGATCCACTGAACCACACCGCTTTTCTTTGCTCCCTTTTGATACAGTACAAAACTCATTTTGTTTAATTAATTTTATTACAGTCAAAATGCCGATCTTGTCAGGGGAACACAACCTACAAAGAATTTAATGTTTTCTCATAACATAATCAAATTTAAAAGGAGGAACAGTAGGATGAATCATCTTACATAATTACTCAGAGAGAATGATTTTTATTATTCAATTTATTCTTTGGGTAGATGACAACTTTCCTTTCCCCAAAATCTACTTTGCAGACAGATGGGTCTCACCGTGTCCCCCAGTGCTTTAAACTGGGATTTTACTGTATTGGTCGGCCCCCTTTTTTCTGTTTCTTTTCCCTGATCAGTGGATCCTGGCAGAATCAGAAATGTTGGTTTCCACAGTAAGGCAGTGGCTGGCAAAGGAGATTCAGTTCTGTGGGATGGCCAGAAGGATGCTGGCCGTGGCAGGAGACCATATGCCTTATGCCATCTGCTCTGGGACTGGGTGGGCATATGCTTGGAAGCTCCTGGGTCCGGCACAGGGGTCCTCAGGCCTGGCATCCCCCTTAGCCCTGAATGCTTTGTGGCCGACAACATCAGCCTTACCCATATGCTTGTTGGAAATGCAGAGTCCAGGGCCTCCCTATACCGTCTGAGTCAGAATCTGCATTTTACGGAGATTCCAAGTGGAATCTTGCTCCAGTTGAAAGAACCTGGAATCTGGAGTCACAAGACCAGACTTGGGTTCTCTGTTGTTTCACTTACTATGCGACACTAGAAAAGGCGTTTAACCTCTCCGAGAACTGGCTTCTTTATCCAGAAAGCAGGGTAGTAATAAAAATGCCTGTCTTACTTGCTGTATGTGGGTTGCAGTGAAGCTCAAAAAGGATGATGTAGGTGGAAGTGGTTTCCAACAGTGATAATCAAAGTAGGCTGCCTGCAGTGGGGTATGGAGTTTGCTCCCAGGCACTGCTTCCTTCATTGAGAAAGTCTTCCTCCCAAGACAAAGGGGAAAGGAAAGCCAGCTGAATAGAGAGTGCACAGTGACGTAGCTGATTTACTGTGGGACCGATCTCCTCATCTCATAACGGACTTAACAGATTTGTGAACCAGGGCACTGCAAAACCATACAAAGGTTTTATTAATTTTATATCTCAATTTTGGAAAGCACCTTCACATATATTATCATATTTGATCCATTCAACAACTTTAAGAACAAGGTAGATGTTACTGTCCTCTTACAATGGCTTAAAAAATACGAAAGGAAGTCTAGTTGACCATCTTGCCCCTAGTCACATGGCCGGTTAAAGTGGACCAAGGACTGACTCCACAGCCCCAGGTCCCTTGCTGGGGACATGTACTTTTAACGCCACCTGCCTGAAGCCACCAGGCCCAGGGGGAGCTTTTGGCCCAACATCACGAAGAGAGAAGGGCTCTGTTCCTTTTCCTCTATGAACTGGCTTTGGGGGGCATGTTTCTCACTGTAGGAAAGAGGGCATGGAAGCCTTTCATCTACTTGTGTGCCTAGCTTGCTGGGTGTTCTATAGGCCTGCTGCCTGGTTGAATCCTAGCATCTGTTTGGGACAGAGCACCTTGTGCACAGAAGATAGATGGAGAGAACGGGTAGGGCATTTGCTGGCTCTGGGAACCAGAGAAGAACCACAGAACCACAGAAGATAGATGGAGAGAACGGGTAGGGCATTTGCTGGCTCTGGGAGCCTCTCCAAACCAAATGGACTCGGTTGGTTGGTTTGTTTACTGAAATGGCCCTCCCAGGTGACACCAGCCCGGAACCAGGCCTCCTGGCCCCTCCTCAGAGGATCTAAAACATAAGGCATGTGCTAAGCTTGTCAACTCAGCACTCCTGTAACCAGGCTCCGGTGGCCCCTTCTATTTCAGAACGGCTACACCCCTCTGCACATCGCTGCCAAGCAGAACCAGATGGAGGTGGCCCGCAACCTGCTGCAGTACGGGGGCTCGGCGAACGCAGAGTCCGTGCAAGGCGTGACACCCCTCCACCTGGCGGCCCAGGAGGGTCACGCGGACATGGTGGCTCTCCTGCTCTCCAAACAGGCCAACGGCAACCTGGGCAACAAGGTAAACACGCGTCTGCAAATATCCCTACAGACTCAATCACATTGGGGGGTCAGCTGACGACACACTGCATCTCAGGATCAAGCACCTGCTGTGTGCCCCGGTTCTGAATCAGGTGATGCGCACGTACACGTGCACGCGCGCGCGTGTGTGTGTGTGTGCGTGTTCTTCGTTGCAGTGTGTGGGCTTCTCTCTAGTTGTGGCGCATGGGCTCAGTAGTTGCAGCTCGCGGGCTTTAGTTGCCCCGTGACATGTGGGATCTTAGATCCCCGACCAGGGATCAAACCCGCGTCCCCTGCACTGGAAGGTGGATTCCTAACCACTGGACCACCAGGGAAGTCCCCCTGTGTAGGTTTTATCTCAGTTTTGTAAATGAATAAACAAGTTCAGAAAGGTTGCTTATTCCAAGATTGCAGGACCCCAAGCCTACCTGATGCCAAAGCTTTGGCTGGTCCTTTCTAAAGAGGTTGACTCAAGAATCTACAAAAAGATCACTACTGAAATCCATTGCATGCTTTCCCAAGTATAGGCCAGTGTCTACATTCAGGAATGTACTAAGTAAGCTGGGACTAAATATTCTTTTTCTGTGAGGAAGATATTGTTTTCAGTGCCAACCTGTCCCTTCAATGGAGTCTCAGTCCAGGGACTGTTGACGTGTGAGCAGGAAACCCTCTATGTGGTGTACCTGGCACGTGGGAGGATGGGCGTGGGAGCCGTTTCCCAGGGGACACCCTCATGGTTTTCATCAGCTTCTCAAAAGAACGCATGACCCAAGAAAGACTGAGTCACTTCTTTTGTTAAACACCAATTTTATTGAAATATAATTCACGTACCATAAAATTCGCTCTTTTGAACTGTACTATTCGGTGGGTTTTTTGGTATATTTGCAGAATTGGACAAACACCACCACTGTCTAACTGTAGAACTTTTCCATCACCCCCAAAGGAAGCCTCAGACCCATTAGCAGCCACGTCCCATTTCCCTCAAACCCCCGTCCCCTGGCAACTAATCTCCTCTCTGTCACTATGAATTTGCCTGTTCTGGACATTTCGTACAAGTGGAATCATACGATATGAAGAGTCGCTTCTTTAGACGACAGATGAACATAATACAGTTTCAGAAAGGCAAGCGTTTTGAGGGTAACTTAAGATTTCTTAAAAGCGTGTGGATCCATTGGCTCTATCGGGATGGCTTTGGACAGGTGACCCCAGGAGGGAACTGTTAGGGCAGGACCATTGTGTTGGACAGGACTCTTGGTTTCTTGCTGGTACCATTTAAATGAGCCAGGAGGAGAGGGGGGTGTCCTGCCCTGAGACATCCCCACTCATCCACATCCACACTCACCAGTCAGGTTACCGCGTTATCCCAAGGATCAGGCAGGGCACCCGGACGCTTGTGACCGACCCAGGACCTGTTCTTATGTGGGCAGCCCCACCTGCCTGTGCAGGCTTCAGCTAGGCAGGCGCACCACTGGGCCTCCCATCAGCCTGGGGGAAGCGCAGACGGCAGGGGAGGGCGAGTGGAGTCTCTGGAGAGGGGGCAGGCCCTGCCCACTGGCTCCGATGACAGAGGAGCTGCAGCCCTGTTTGCCCCACAGTTAGGAAGGCGTGTTGAGCGGGCTCCGGGGGAGGGAAGCCTTTCCTGGCATTTTTGCGTGAATGCGCACGTGTCAGTCAAGGTCGCTGGAGCGTCACCATCCTCGTGAGAAAGCTGTGATGAAAACTCCAGGAATCTGGGGGTTTCGGTCCCAGCAGGATCCTCCACCCTGTTTACTGGCTGGGATGTGCTGATCACAGGCTGCATTTAAATGTCCCGTCGTGGTTTACAATGCATTTTCGTCTGTTTTCTCAAGTGAGCCTTCCTTTGCCCTTGAGATTCGTCAGTTATAATCCCGATTTTCTCGATAAGCAAACCAAGGCTTTGAAGCTCATCTCGAGTCATGGAAATAGGAAATGTTACCACTGGAAAGGACCATAAAGTTCATCTAGTTCAGAATTCAGCAAACTACGGCCTGGGGTCCAAATCCAGCTCACCACTTGTTTGTACAAATAAAGTTTTATTGGAAGCCAGTCATGCCCATTCATTTACGTGTTGGCATAGCTGCTTTCTCACTATAACTGGCGGAGCTGGGTAGTTGCAAGAGAGACACAAGCCTAAAGTATTGACCATCTGGCCCTTAACAGAAACTGTTGCTGACCTCTGATTCAGTCTAACCACCTCATATTTTAGTTAAGGATGGGGGGGGGGGCGGGGCTAGAAGAGCTTGTCTAAGGTCAAACAACTGGTTGGAGCGTGCAAAGCCAAGTTCGACTCCCAAACCTCAGTGCTCTTTCAGTGTCGCCTGGAATTCTTTCCTGGCTCCAAGCTGATGAACTGCTTTTCCCTTCCAGAGTGGACTCACTCCCCTTCATCTGGTCGCACAAGAAGGTCACGTTCCAGTGGCAGACGTGCTGATCAAACATGGTGTCACGGTGGACGCCGCCACCCGGGTAAGGCCAGCAGCCGGCACTCTGTCCACAGGGACTCCCCTTTCCCCCTGCACCCACAGGCCTACCCACTCTGGCCTCCATCACTGGTCCATCTGAGGATATTGGATACCCCGAGGACCCAGTGGCCCATTCCTGTCTGCCACTTCCTAGGGGCGGCAGTGGAGTTTGAGGACCCCAGGCCAATGGGCTCGCTTTCCAGTGGGGAGTCTAAAAAGTTGGCTAGACCTTTGATCCTCTGTAGTGAAAGGACGTTTAATCATGATTCCAAGCCCTGTCTTACATGAGCAAGGTATCAACATGTCAGGATGCACTGGAAAATTCCGCCCCTTCTACTCCGGCATTTGGCTAAAAGCAGGTCAGCATTCTTTGAGCCTCTGTGTGTGCAGGGAGCTCTGGGGGTGGGGGTTGGGTGGAGGATGACCCAGTGCCCAGCACACAGTGCAATGAGCCTCAAGGCATCTGCAGATGACATAAGAGTCAGGAAGGGACAGCCGGTGTGATATGCGGTGCAAGGGGGCTTCTCGTGAACCCACGGAGCACAGAGGGAGGAGAGGGTGTTTCCATTTGGTGGAAGGAAGAGGCTTCCTGGAAGAAGTGACATTTTGTTCTTTTTCACCAAAAGGCAACTGTATTCAAAGGAAGGGACAAAGTGACGCCCCTGTAGCCCCAGCCCCTTCCAGCGTTCCTCCGGCACATCGGGCAGCAGTGTGACATTGAAGCCTCCCTGAGAAAAATCCAGAGACATATTTTATCCCCAGCTGCCTATAGCTTCAAAAGGAACCTGCTTTAAACCAAAGAATGTTCTGGATCTTTGAGGCTTCTTTTGTGGGCCTGTTTTTGTCTTTTGGGGTCCTGTCCTGAGAGATCTTATGTTGTGGGTTAGAACTTGGGGGTCCCAAAGCCATCCCATCACTCCAGATCCAGCCTGCAGGGTCTGGGTCCAGATCACCTCTGGGACCAGGCTCCCCAGGGACACTGAGGAGCCCAGAGAGCCTTGGCTTGTTGGCGTTTGGAGGGAGCATTAAAATATTCAGCAGAATGGCTTTCTTGACAATTACCTCCTCTGCAGACAAAACTCAAATGAACAAATGCCCAAAGCCACCGATTTCTAGCCATGGCCAGTTCCTATAAATTCCATTATGGTACAACTCTGTAACCTAGACAGCCTTCTGGGGAGTTTTTCAGTGGGATTTCAGCTTTCTAGTGGAAATAAGTGTGCAAGGCAGGTCTTGTCTGGGTCGGCAGTGATCTCTGCACTGCTGTCTGTGCTCATCTGAGTCTGCTGCTCTCCCAGGGTCTGCTGGCGGTTCCCTCCTTCTGGGGTTGACCCCTTTTGGCTTCTGTAACACGGGCCTCTCCTGGCTTTCCTCCCTCCTCTTTGCTGCTCCCTCCCCATCCTCTTTTCTGACCTCCCTGTAAGTACTGCCTCAGTCCATGGGCCCCACTTTTTCTCTGCACATTTATCCTGGGGGATGTCTCTCACCTCCAAGACTTTCAACTCCCCTCAGGTGCCTCCTTGCCTTGCCCTCTTCCCCGGGCTCAGTGTCGGTTTCCAGTCACCTACTTAACCTCTCCACTTGGGTCTCTCCTAGTCATCTCACACTGCACTTGACTGACACCGAGCCCTGTCCCTCCCAGGCCCGTGGTGCCCCACTGCTGACCTTGCAAAGGGCCTCCTCGTCCATCCTCTCTTTCAGTCACCACTGTCGTGAGACTTTCATTCCCATCCAGCTCAGAACGGCTCGTGGTGTCCCCTGAAGCCTTGCTGGTCACCCTGTCTCCTCTCTTGCTTTCCAGATGGGTTACACTCCACTCCACGTGGCGAGCCATTATGGGAATATCAGGCTGGTGAAGTTCCTGCTACAGCACCAGGCGGACGTCAATGCCAAGACTAAGGTACTGGGTTGCCTGAGAGCAGTGCCAAGTTCAGATGCAGCCAGGGTCACTCCGGGCGCACTTGGGGCCCCACCACAACTTTCAGCTTTGACGCTGGAGGAGGAAATGGGGAAAACGCCTTTCTACGTTACACACAGAAGACGCACACGCTCTGTGGCAGGTGGGCAGTGCTTTCTCTCGTAGCTAGCTCACCCTGCCAAATGTCTGCCTGCTTTACAGCTCGGATACAGTCCCCTGCACCAGGCAGCTCAACAAGGCCATACAGACATTGTGACACTGCTTCTCAAAAATGGTGCTTCCCCAAACGAGGTCAGCTCGGTAAGTACCCGCCCGGTTCCTGATTTCAGAGACCTGCTCTCACGGGCGGCCCCATGCGCTATCCCTTCACCAGGGAAACTCGGGTCATCCTCCTGTGTGTCTGGGGCCTGGACGGGCTCCCCAGGGCGTGGGCTGTTGGGATTAGTTCCTCCTTCTGGAAGACAGAAGGTTATCCTGGTAGCACTGTTGCCCCTCCCCCCTTTTTATGTTTTTTAAAATATTGTCAAAACCCTTTCTGAAATCTGTGGGAGTGAACAAAGCCAAATGCCTTGAGTGGTGTGTGAGGTTTGGGGGCCTCGGTGTCTTCAGCCACGTCCGTGGTCACGGTTCAGGGTGAACTTCCTGCCCTGGATAACGCGACTGTCAGCTTTACTAGGTTGTCGCCGCGGCCGCTTCCAGCTCAGCAAGCGTGCAGGCCTTTGTGGGTGCGGTTGCTGAAACCGTGTAACTGTGGATGGGGCTGAATCGGAGCGGGGCACCCCCTGGGACCAGAGAACTTAGAAGAAAAGAAAGCCTCAGTATCCGTTTAGTGTCGCTTAGCTCTGCCTTTTAAAACCAGAGTAGAAATAGGCCCCTCCCCTGTTTCTGGTGACTCGTGATTTCTGATTGGCCTGAGAAGAGTTCACTGAAGTATGTGGATTACTCTAACTATTTGAATGCTCAGTAACTGACACCCAAAGAACCGGCCTTGGGAGCCATGGGCAGTACTGCCCGGTGCCCTCCTATTCCTACAACTGCATCTGGTGCCCCCCTGACCCTGACCTTCCCTCTGGCTCTCCTCTTGACCACCCTTGACTTTGGTGGTAAGATCTCCCCTGCTCCCATTCAAGGCTGGCGCACTGTGGCCTCTTCTCGCCCTGCAGCGTCGTTGTGGGCGTCGGCGACACACATCTGGGCCCACGCGTGTGCAGGGGTCTTGCTCTGGGTATGAACGACTGGGGCGTGAGCTCGGTCTGACCTCGCCCTCCCTCCGCTGTTCTCCCCAGAATGGAACCACACCTCTGGCCATAGCCAAGCGCTTGGGCTACATTTCTGTAACAGACGTGCTCAAGGTTGTCACCGATGAAACCAGTGTCGCGGTACGTCTGCTCCTCCCCTGCACCCCTACCCCGGACACACACAGCCTGGCCGCAGGGCGCCCCTTGGGGTACCCCGGGAAAGGGAGCCTAGGTGTCCTAGGATTCCCGCGGGAAGCTCAGAGCCAAAAGAACTGGGGACGGGGCGCGGGGGGCGGGGCTCCTCCTTCATCAGGCGGGTCTTTACTGCCACCTAGCGGCCGGAGGAGTAGGGGCCGCCACCAGACCGGAGCGGGTAGCCCTGGATGGGACTGGGGGCAGGTACCAGGCGCCGGGAAGCTGGGGTTCCGTTCATCACTCTGCGGTTCCTGCCAGACCCCAGAGACCCTCTTAGCTGTCATTTTCTTCATTTGGGACAAACATCCTTTGCCGTCTCCTTCCTGTCTCCACACTCATAACCAGGTAACTGCTGAATGGGTGAAAGGGCCCACTGCTGTGTTTGGGTTGAAGTCTTTGCTTTTTCTCCTTTCAGTTGGTCAGCGACAAGCACCGGATGAGCTTCCCCGAGACGGTGGATGAGATCCTGGACGTCTCTGAAGATGAAGGTACAGGCTGGGATCAACACCGCGTCCGGGTCAAGTCAGGCTGAAAGGGGTGCTCGGGGCTCTGAACACTCCGGTGGGGGGGGGGCCCTGCTGTCGCCCCGGGGCACCTCACAGCATGCCCACCTCTGCCGACCTAGTAAGAGCTGGACAGAACCACGCTCTAAAGATGCTGTCCGTTATCCAAAAGACCCCTTTAATGTGATTTTAGAAGAAGGAAATCTACATCGCAGGGATTAAAATATAAAATCCCACAAAGTTTCACAAATACATGTGTGTCTGCCTATATCATACAAGGACTGTGATTCAACTCAGTCAACTCTCAGAGCTGTAAGGAGCTGTCATAAAATTCCACTTGGTGTGTTCCTTGTGCTTTGAACAAAGCTTGTTTCATTTAAAATCTGGAAGAATTGCTTTTCATAAGCTGCTCTTCTAACCACCCGCTGGGTCGACAGTCAGTCATTATGAAATGACTATAGTTTCAACTTCTGTGGCCACGGGTACTTATGGCATTTTTCCTGCCCCAGGCAAGCCTGTCTTCCCACTGAACTTGGAAAAGAAAGATCGTGATAAAAAAGGGTGGGGCTGGATCAGATTTCTCTCTGGCCCCTTGCATATCAGTAACCCAGGGGTCATGTAGTTTTGTCAGCTAGGCGATGAAAGCTCTCCTGTATCCCCTTTGATGATATGCCTCTTAATTTAACTGACTTCAATCCTATCCATCCTTAAACTTGGCTCTTCTTTGCTTTCCAGGAACTGCTCATATAACTATAATGGGTATGAAACACTTTCTGTTCCCTGTGGTCCATTCTCACAAGTGCATTTCACTCTAAGCAATCCAAGATCTCACTAATCCATCCCTGGTTTTCATAACAATCAGAGCTTGACTAAAACAGGAAATTTCCATCCGTAAGATCCGTGCCCTGGCGGGCGGCTCCAACCTGTCCATGTCTGTGTCTGTGCCCATGCCACTGTGTCTGTGATCATAACTGCATGAGCTGCTGTGATTCCATCCTGTCGGCTCCAGATCACAACGCCAGGACACACACTGCTGAGGGGCAGTAAAGGACCCTGCAAGGTCCAGGGCTCCAACTCCAGTTCAAGGAGGCGAGAGAAACAAAGAGGCAGTCTGGTTTGCAGACAGACTTTGAACCTCCTGGTGATGCGCTTAGGAAATAATGAGGGTTCAGCCGCCATGGTTATTAAAGTTCCTAGAGCCTCTCAAAATGGATGGGTTTGGTTCCACAGTTGTTTATTCTTCTGTTGCGTGTGGTGTGGAAAAGAACAGAAGCACCTCTTTCTTTGGTGTCAGTGCACACGCCACAAGGGCTGTTTTGAAGTGGAACTTGTCAGGCAGAAAAAGTTCTTTTTTTTGATGGGACTGTTTTCTTCTCCAAAGCCTGGTGCAGACTAAGATATCAGGGGCTGGCTGCCCCGCTCCAGGTACCAGGGCTGGAGGAACAGGGTCAGGGCTGGTTGAAGACGTTGCTATGGTCCTCCTGGAGCATCTGAGACCTTCCCCCACTCCTCGGGGTGAGCGTTGAGAAGAGCAGCAGATTCCCTCTTTTCTTTTGAAAAAGAAAGAGGGAATCTCCGTCCTGTCACTCACTTAAACTTGTGCGGTTTCAGGGGAAGAACTTGTTGGCTTCAAGGCTGAGAAGCAGGATACCAGGGATATAGATGAAGAGAAAGAGCTGCTGGATTTTGTGCCGAAGCTGGACCAAGTGTAAGTAATGCTCACGCCGAGGCAGGTCAAGGTCCACCCCGGGGACTGAGTAGGAAGATTCCAGAGCTGGAAGGTTCCAGGAAGGCCGAGCCCGGACGGAGCGCTGGTCCAGCACCTTAGGATAAGCTAGCCCTGCACCAGGGGTGCCAGGCAGGCGCAGAGGTCTCTCCTACCGCAAGCCACCCTCTCAGGGGTCCCTGCCCCCCACTGTTCCTTCTCTCATCGCTCAGTCTCCATACCCCTCCCCCTCTCACACACTCAGCTTCTCACCAGAAAAAATCCACCAAGGGAGATTGCCATTAGAAACCATTGCCAAAAAAGGGCGGAGGGGAGTGTCATTATGGGATTATATGAAATCATGTGTGTGAAACTTTTGAAAATTGCAAAGCACTACAGAATTTTTAAAAGCTTTCATTCAATTAAAAGAATTTAAATAATAAAAAAAAGAAAGGAACTTTTGCCAAGCTGGCCTCAGAGGCTGGCCACGTCCCTCCATTGGCCTGTCCATTAGGGAAGACCCACGGAGGGTTTGTGTCTGCCTGTGTTTCTCATTCCTCCCTGAGATGCTGTGAGCTATTGCGACGTGGGTGCATCGCCACACCCGGGGACTTTGTGAATGAATCTAAAAGTGACAACTTTCTAGAAACACTGAGCCCTCGGTATTTTCTGAAAAGACAGGCGTGTGCCAGCTTGGTCCCAGGGCTTATACAAAATAGGGCAATGGACCAAGGAGAAGGAAAACTATGATTAGTATTTACTGAACTTCGTTTAGAAAGAAACTTGAGACTCGGACCCTGACCACGGAGAACCTACAGATATATTGGTAGAATCAAAACACACACCCAGTGGACAGATCGTGACGCAGAATAAGATGTAATGGCCAGAGCGAGGGTTCCCTCACCAAGGGGTCGAAGGCTGCAGAACAGGGGTGGTGCATGCAGGAAGACTTCCTGGAGGAGGCAGGTCCTTCACTCAGCCAGGACAGTCAGGCTCTGGGGACAGGCATGGGGGCAGAGGGAGGAGGCTGGTCAGTGTGTGAAGGCCAGGATGTACCACATGTGCCAGTGGGATTCAGGTGGTGGCGAGCGGTCGGATCGGATAGGTGATCCTGGGGGTACAGAAGTGTTTCACTAAGGCCTTCCGTGGAAGAGGGGGGCTACTCATAAGGATCATCCCTTGATATCCCAACGTTCTCGGCACACAGGGTGGAATCCCCAGCCATCCCTCGGATTCCTTGCGTCACACCTGAGACAGTGGTGATCAGATCTGAAGAGCCAGAGCAGGTAAGAAGCATCCTTTCTCTTACTTCCCCTTGGCAGGGAGCAGGTCCCCTGGACAGTGATTGTTTTGAGACGACCTGCAGGACAATAGGAACTCATAGCTGAGAGCTGGCAGCGTTTACCAAGCCCTGCAGGTCCCAGATTCCACGTGTTCTTGGTAGCACTTGTGCTGTCAGTGCTCTTATCCTAGCTGTTGATGATCTGGGTCTCCGAGAGCCGAAGGGCGTGTGGGACACCCTCACGCTGGTCTCAGTGGGGCTGAGAACTGACTCCAGAAGTTTTGGCTCCAAAGCCCATGTTCTCGGGGCCACAGCCCCTGAGCACACGCCTTATGCACCTGTTGGGGCCAAGGGTCCCGGCGCCAGAGAGGGAGCCTGAGGCTGCATTTGCACTCTGTGAAGCTGCGGGCGGCTCTGGAACTCTGAGCTTTTTTTCTTTCACGTCCATAAAAAAAGGGGACAGTTTCTGCCTCACCTTCCTCAAGGGATTACCGGGAGCTTAAAATACCAATACAGATGGAAAGAGGACGTCAAGGAGAGCTGTTCCCGGCGTGGGCTGTTACTCATTACAATACCCTATTTTGTGGCTTCCCTGGATGCCACCTGAATTTGTCTCCAAGATCGGTGGGATGGTTTAAAACAATGTAATTCCTCTTGGTTTAATTTTAGGCCATTTGGCACTTTGTCACCTGGGCAAAGGGGTTTTCTAGGGTAAAAAGAAAGCAGTGTGGTATTTGAAGGTTGGGACTGGCCACCCTGAGGCCCGATCACCGAGCCGGGCTTGTCCGTTTTCCAGCTGAGGCTGGTCTCTTCCCCTGCCACTGAAGGCACGCGCATCCCCTCGACCCGAAAGTGGAGCCAGAGGGAGGCGGCTGTGACACCGTCCAATCCGCCGTTCCACCCTCGGGCACATCATAGTGGTGTGACGTTGGTGTCACGCCCCGGGTGACATTTAGGAGACCCGGTCAAACGTGGCCCTGGGGCTGCAGTGGCACGTTCCCCGGGGGCCGCCGAAGACGACAGTGAGAAGGTCCGAGCGGACCCGGGTCTTGCTGTTCCCTGGCCAACCGTGCCCTGAGTCCTTGCCTAAGTCATGAACCCGAGGCATGAACCTGGGTCTCCTGGTGTCCCGCTGTGCCCCGTCTGGGGTGGGAGGATGTGGGAGGAGACGGTCCAGCTGGGGAGGGGCTCAGAGTGCAGGGAGGGTGACTACCGCAGGGCCCAGCTGTGTGGTGGGAGCCCTTCCAGATCAGCGCCTCCTACGCTGGGCCCCTTGGTTCACAGCTGAGCCTCCCCGACCTTGGCCGAGACCATCAGCCGTGGCCCGGGGGTGACAGGACAGCTGGCCTTTGTCCCCTCTGCAGGCGTCTAAGGAGTATGATGAAGACTCGCTGATCCCCAGCAGCCCGGCCACAGAGACCTCAGACAACATCAGCCCGGTGGCCAGCCCTGTACACACAGGGTGAGTGGCCTGGGAGGGGCTGGCAGCTCTGGCCCTGCTCGCCCACCCAGGAGAAGCCAACACGGACCCGCTGTGCCCTAGGTTCCTGGTGAGCTTCATGGTGGACGCCCGTGGGGGCTCCATGCGGGGCAGCAGGCACAATGGCCTGAGGGTGGTGGTCCCGCCCCGGACGTGCGCAGCACCCACTCGCATCACCTGCCGCCTGGTGAAGCCCCAGAAGCTGCCCACGCCGCCCCCGCTGGCCGAGGAGGAGGGCCTGGCCAGCAGGGTCATCGCCCTGGGCCCCACGGGAGTCCAGTTCCTGAGGTGAGAGGTCACTCCCATGCCCCCGACCTGTCCCTGCTGCGCTGCGACCACGCAGCCCCAGCCCAGCCCGGGCAGAGGGGAGACGAGCCTGCAGCCCGCACCCATGTTCTCTGTGTCCTGACCGGTCAGAGCCAGGGGTCCATGTGTTCCTTCCACGGCCTGTTCTAGGTACACGTAGGAGTCTGTTCCCCAGGGGGAGCTTAACGCCCTCAGCGCCTGTGTGACACTAGAGGGGGGATGAAGATGGCCACTTTTGGGGCCCCCAGGGTTTGATTATTTAAGCTCTGAAACGGTCTTCCTAGAAGGCGGCCCTGCAGCATGGCCCCCAAGGACAGGACTGATGGTTTCAGAGGCTCCCTCCTCACCTTTCCCGCAGCAGAAGGGCTTCTCCTTGGAGCTCTGCATCCCTCAGGCGCCACGGGCTCTGTGTTGGAACGGGTCTTGCCCAGGAGGCCCTGCCCTCCCATCTCCATCCACGGCCTGTCCCCGCTGCCAAGCTTTCATCCACCGATTGTAAAGCAGCTGTGAAACGCTTTCACGTTGACTTCCCCTTCACATGTAGTCCTCAAAGCCGTCCTCCCAAGGAAATGTCCTTTCACACACTGACACGGGAGGAAGCTGAGGCTCAGAGGGGTTGGGTCGCCCGTCTAGGACGTCAGGCGGGCCCTCAGCCTCAGGTCCAGGGGCAGCTTTATTCTGCTGAGCCTCGGCCGTGTGGCCATGGCAGGAGAGCCCCCTGTGAACTGAGGTTGGGGCCTGGTGGGTAGCTAGAGGGTCCGGGGGTGGGGGTTCTCTGGGACCTGAGGCGGGTCTGTCCGACTGTGAGGACCAGGCTGCAGACGGGACAGCCTCTTTCCAGGCAGGACCCGGCTACTCTTCCCTACTGAGCCCATGGCTGCCGCCCACACGGCACGCACACCTGCGTCCGGGCCCCTCTCCACTGTCCCCTGTCCCCCCAGCCCTGTCATCGTGGAGGTCCCCCACTTCGCCTCCCAAGGCCGTGGGGACCGCGAGCTCGTGGTGCTGCGGAGTGAAAACGGCTCCGTGTGGAAGGAACACAAGAACCGCTACGGAGAAAGCTACCTGGATCAGATCCTCAACGGGATGGACGAAGGTGCGCGAGCCCCAGGGATCCGGAGCACGGCCCTCCTCCTGGAGGACGGGGTTTGGGGTTGCACTTTGGGGTGGGCTGTCGGGGTCTCCCGGAGTGTGGGACCCCCTGAGAGGCTAGACGTGGCCCAGCTCCGGTGCCCGGGCCCCTGCAGCCTGGTGTCCTGTGCAGGACCCCCTGGGCCAGGACCTTTCTCCTTCCAGGTGGCCCAGCCTCCTGCCCCTGCCGGGGCCTGGGGAGGGGGCGCCAGAGTGGGGATCAGGGGCCCTGGGAAGCCACCATGGTGATGGGCGGGCACGGGCCTGTGGTTGCAGAGCTGGGGAGCCTGGAGGAGCTGGAGAAGAAGAGGGTCTGCCGCATCGTTACCACCGACTTCCCCTTGTACTTCGTGATTATGTCAAGGCTCTACCAGGACTACGACACCATCGGCCCCGAGGGGGGCTCCCTGAAAAGCACGCTTGTCCCCCTGGTGCAGGCCACCTTCCCAGAAAATGCTGTCACCAAGAAAGTGAAGCTGGCCCTGCAGGTGACACAGCCTCTCCTTACCTGCTGGGGCCCCATCACCTGGACCGGGTTCAGGGATGGAAGGCGTCAGGGCGCTCAGAGATGACCCTCCTCCCCAGGACATCTCCACCCGTTGGTCTAGGGCCTGAAAAGTCCCATTAGAGCCCTGACCTTGAAGCTCAGAAGAAAGTTGGGTGGGTGAGATAGGGCAGACGCCCTGGTAACTTGCAGAAAACCCCAGATAACGTGTTAAACCACAGGCTTAGTGTGAGGGGAAGCCACTTGGCTTCCTGGAGAGGTGCCTGAAGCAGAGCAAGGCCCCCGGGAGTGGGGAGCAGCAAGGAGATGGGGACGGGGGCTCAGAGAGGAGAGCCGGGCTGGCCGTCAGCAGGAGCGGGACCCGCCCCCCGCCCCCCGCCCCGGGAGCCTTCGCACCTGCCTGGACAGCCGCTCTCTTCCTCCGTCCATGAGCCCCTCTGCTGCTCCGGGGCTGAGTGTGCCCCCTCGGCACTTCACAGGCCCAGCCCGTACCCGATGAGCTGGTCACCAAACTCCTGGGCAACCAGGCCACGTTCAGCCCCATTGTCACCGTGGAGCCGAGGCGCCGCAAGTTCCACCGCCCCATCGGGCTTCGCGTCCCACTGCCGCCCTCCTGGACGGATAACCCTCGGGACAGCGGGGAGGGAGACACCACCAGCCTGCGGCTGCTCTGCAGCGTCATTGGTGAGCGGTGCCCCCGCCCCGCCCCGCCTTCTGGGCAGCAGCTCCTTCCACGACACCTGGGGAGACGGGAGGACACAGAGCTAGGGAGTGATGGGCTCCTCAGAGGGACGAGCAGCTGCGTCCGCGTAGAGCTGCCTTGTCCCCGAAGAGCCCTCTGACCCCGGAGGAGGGCTGCTGCGAGGGGAGGGGCGGAGGGGTAGGTGTGCTCTCGGGGCCACGGCCGGGTGTGCACGTCCCGCGTTGGCTTCTGGAGACGGTCCCCCAAGCCCTTTCTACTGCTGTCACAGGAGGGACAGACCAGGCCCAGTGGGAAGACATCACGGGGACCACCAAGCTCATGTACGCCAACGAGTGCGCCACCTTCACCACCAACGTCTCTGCCAGGTGACACCCCGCCTGCCCGGCGCCATGGGTCCCCGGGCCCCACGTGAGGGGGCAGCGCTGTCCCCATGGGTGGCCATGCTTAGGCCGTCACCTGCCCACCCCACCACCGGGGCTGTCAGAGAGGCCACCGCCTGGCTTACAGGCCATTGGATGGGGGAGACGCTCCCCCTCAGGCACTTAGGGACAGGCTCACGGCTGCCCTCTTTTCAGGTTCTGGCTGTCGGACTGCCCTCGGACGGCTGAAGCTGTGAACTTCGCCACCCTGCTGTACAAGGAGCTCACCGCGGTGCCCTACATGGCCAAGTTTGTCATTTTCGCCAAGATGAACGACCCCCGAGAAGGGCGACTGCGCTGCTACTGCATGACGACGGATGACAGGGTGGACAAGACGCTGGAGCAGCACGAGAACTTCGTGGAGGTGGCCCGGAGCAGGGACATAGAGGTAGGGCCTGGCCCCCCTGGGCT